GAGGGGGCGTTCATGCCTCTTTATTTTTTGTGGTTAAGTTTTTTTTATTAAAGCAACATGATCCTGACATTTTAAGAGTTATTGACAATAGACCTGTTTGATAATAGCGTTAGAAATTAGTATTAGTATTTTGAAAAGACTATCTATGGGAAACGTTTAGTGTTACATTTTCAAACTCAATCTGCACCGTTAAAATTTAATTAAAAATACTAACACTAATAAAAAATGTTATTCTTAAACGGGCCCTATTTGTTTTTGGAATAATAATGTACCGTTTGTATCCCACCCATTGGTTATTATCCATGCAAAGCTGGAAGAAAATTTGAGCTAATAATAAATGATAAACAAGAAATTTCTTTGGAACGGGAGGAAATCTGGAAAAACAAAGAATTCTTTTTTTTTTTGAAGAGAAACAAAGACTTCTTAATCTAAACAAAATGCAGTAAATTTTTTTAACACCAATAGGCCATAACATTACTCCATCACTCCATGTTATTTATCTATTTTTAATTATTATTTTTCCTCTCTCGAAAACGAGGGGCTTTTATTTTTCAAGAAGAGTTCCCCTCACGGATGAACTAACTTTTTATTATGGCATGGTCCGGTCAAACACGACGACGACTAGCTCGATCAATAACAGAGGCCGGAGAGCTTGAGGATCTCATCTTTGCTGACGCGCGGGAAAGCTCTGCCGAGGTGGAACGGGAAGCGCGACTGCACGCGGCGGAGGTACACATTCACGAGGGTCAACAGCGCCGCCGTGAGCTGCTTGTACTCATCCAGCGACTCCAAGTCGGCGAGCGCGGATGAATACATTTTCCCCCACGCCTTGAACTTGGGGAGCCCGAGGTCGGCGAGGAACTCGAAGTGGTTGAAGGGTTGGAGCAAGTGGTAGCGCGTGAGGTCCTTCATCATCGGGAGCGTCATGCTCGGGAGGTCGGAGTCTCTCAGGAAGTGGTAGAGGGTGCTCGGGCCGTCCGTCATCAGACAGCACCACGTGTGCATCCACACCGGGAGGACGTTCCCTCCCGTCCCCATCCCCGTGGGGACGAACCCCGCGAAGCTGGCAAACACTTCGTCGGGCTCCTCCTGCAGGACCCGCTTCGCTTCGTGGCGGAAGAGTGCTTCCACACTCTTCCACCCCCCGGTGAACTTCGGGGCCGCCTCGGGTAGCGCGAGGGACGGTGTCACGCGGACGCCGTCCGCGTCGTCGCAGATGCTGACGGTGGCGGGGACAATGCTGTGTTGGGCCGCGGCGAGGGTGGAGTCGAAAACGGACTTCCCCGCGGCCCGCAGGTCCCGCATGTCTTCCTTGAGGACGACAGCGAATCTGTTGACGGGAGCGCTCTCCTTGGTGTCGCCGTAGGTGATCACGATGGACTGTCCCGGGGCGAAGAGATAGATCGACCCGGGGTGGCGGTCCACCATGTGGCCGGCTCCAACGTAAGTGATTGGAGTCGGCAGCACGAGGCCTTGGCCGGAAACGTTGGTGTGGAGGGCAAAGCTTCTGAGAGGAAGCTGGGCGCACACTAGCTTCACCACCTCCGGATTCTCTTCCTCCATCAGCCTGGCTCTTATGGTACGGTCAGCCACTTTGATTTGGATCATTCTAGCAGCTTGAGGCATTTTGGTTTTTGACCGTAAAGGCCGGGCAGATGAAGAACAATAAATGTTTACTTCTTTTTTGGGGGGAGAAAATGTGGTGAATTGATGATATGTATGCTCGAGGAAGGAGGGAGGATGCATGTATATATAGCCGTGAGTTAAAATGCATTTGAACTAAACTTTGACAATAAATTAAGAAAAAAAAAACTAAAATAGAACTAAAATATATTTACATTGTCAATCATCATTATGTACATTATAAAAAAATATAATTCCAAAATATAATTCCTCCGTCCCACAAAAAAGTTCTCATTTTGAATAGTATTTAGTCAAATATTTATGCGCTTTGACTACAAATTGTGAGAAAAGTATATTGAATTATTAAATAAATTTTATATAATTGGATTCATCTTAGGATCTAATTTTGATATCTCAATTTTTTTAGCATTTCTTTAATTAGATTATATTTAATTTATGGTCAAAGTGTGCAACAGTTTGACCAATTTATGGTCAAAATGGGAACTTTTTTGTGGGACGGAGGTTGTAATAAAATACACATATACACTAACAAATGACCAACGTTGGAAAAATGGAGATTTTTCGTTTTTTGAGAGAAGAAAAAGGGAGATTTAGGACATCAAAGCTAGGTAGCAAAAAAATCAAATTTGTAATTGTAGGTTCAAAGAAATTAAAGTTTTTACTCCTACTCTCTATATTCCTTCCGTCTTAAAATATTCTTTCCAGTTATTATTTACACGGTCAAATTTTAATCACTTTCTTTACCTACTTTCGTTAGTTATTTGATAAAATAATATAGTTTTATCATCTCTTGTTTTGTAGAATTTTTGATGTAGTTTTAAATACTACCTCCGTCCGAGTGTATTTGTCTAGTTTGACTTTTTCGAGTTAAACTGGACAAACTTTGAACAAAACCCCCTAAATAGGAGTAAAACATATATCATATTATCAAAATAGGAGTTCAAAGTTAAACTCATCTAAATAGGAGTGATTAATCAATTAATAAATGATGTTATCCTAAGTCCCTGCCCACACCATGCGAACCATTCCATATAGATCCTCAAGTGCTCTTTAGAACAATTGCTTATGGGAGTTGTTAGCTGCGTCGATCTCCACGGACGAAGTCAAGCTCAGAAGAATCTGAATCAACAACATACTACTTTTAGATCTTGTCTTTATAAAGGTGGACTGAATATGGACCAAAATTCTTTTTTTTTTTCAATTTTTGTATGCCAAACTCTCTCCTCTCTTGTTCGGTCCAAGAGAGAAATGCCTCTTTTCTCCTGTCCGTTTTGAGGGTTTGAGGCCCAAAAGGTATTCGATGAAATTCCCCAGCCAAAATCTCGACTCTGATTATTGATGGCGAGTGCTAGTGTGCTATTTTGTGTATATTTTGGCTATAATTTTAGCAAATCAAAAATATATCTTTGTCCCCCTAAAAATGACTTATTTTTTTAATTTTTGATTATTGATTTGGAATGCACATATCAATTAAAAAAAGTTTGTAGACTTCATTAATCTGATGCATGGGCTATTAATCTTTGCGTGACACTGTCAATTTGCATCTAAAACATTACATATGAGTATTTGTAACATTATGGGTTATCATTTGTGACAGTATCTGATGCAATGTTTGACATTATGTTTATTAACACTGTATTTGGTAGTTAATGTGTTACTGTAATATCAACAATGTAAATTGTGGTTATGGTGTTGGAGACAACGGTAGAGAGCCGTGATGTCGGCGGTGAAGGCAAAAAATCAACAACAAAATGGTAGATTTTGGTAAAAAAAACTTTAGATTCTCTTCCTAAATCAGAATATGAAACAAGAGGCCCCTCATTCCTCGTCCGACCCGAATACTACCTAGAGTCCTAGACCCACAAGTTTTTTCTCTATGCAAGCTCACAAAGGCTTCTCTCAAAAGAAAGAAAGTCCCATAAAAGGCGAAGCTAACAGGATGGAGGGTATAGCATTAATTTGAACTTGAATTGAAAATTAAGCAAAGATGACAAAGACATTGAAATAGTTTGATGCTAATATATAATTAACATGTATGATATGTAGCATTATACAATGACATATCTGTCATTATATATTGTCGAGTGTGGTTATACATTGTCTTGTTTAGTATTTTCCCTTTGTTTAATATTATGCATTCGCATGTATGACTGTATATGTCACTGTGTACATCTCGTCTCGATTCATTCAAATACGAAGAAAACAAAATGTGTGGCGGCCTTTTCGGAAGACTCCTAAAACCCTTTAGGAAACGCAGCAACATCGTTCCTCTTTCTGTGGCCGTTGCTTCCACCGCATTAACCACGATTAATATCTGCATCATCGGAAGTGACATTAACTAAAATTTGATCGAGTCAATAAAACTAAAAAGATAATTTAGAAACTTAGAGAATATATTCCAATTTCTTTATTTTCTTTTCCCTCTTATTTATCTCCCCCAAATAAAGAGTTACCCTACATTTGAAAAAAAAAAGCTTTGAAAAAGTGATAAAGACTGATAAAGGTAATTGAAAACTGGAAATAAAAAAGATTGGCCCGAAAAGTTTTTTTTTTGTTTATTCTACTCTAATTCTTTATATAATTTCCCATACCAAATTCTATTCTAACCCAAACAAGGCATTAATGCTTTAATGTTAGGAAGACAATGCAAATGATTGCTGATGCAGAAGCTTAGATTAATGAACGGGAAGGGAGAATTGATGCGTGAAGATTAGATTAATGAAAATTAATTACTCCTATTTGGAGGAGTTTAAGTTCTAACTCCTATTTTGGAGATATGACATATGTTTTACTCCTAGTTTGGTACTTATCCCCTCCAATTGCTCTCAATTTATATTGCATATTAGCATAATGAAATACAATTTTGAATTGAAAGTTCTCAATACAATAAATCCAATAAAGTCATTTTTATGTTAAAATACATTACGGTTTTTATTTAATTGAAGCTCAAAGTTTGTCCAGTTTGACACTAAAAAATCAAACTGGACACATACTGTGGGACGGAGGGAGTATATAAATTTTATTTTTTTTTAATTCTACACTTAGAACCAAATAAATAGAATTGAAAATAAAATTGATCAAATATATAATAGTAAACAGAAACGGAAAGAACATATTATGAAGATAGTATTTTAACACGTCTCTACGTACCGGCCAGATTTGGCCGCTAGAACCCATAAAAAGGATAAGAATAGTGAGGGATCCAAAAAATGGGAAGAGTGGGGGCAAGAATAGTAGGGTGTCGGTTTGGGAGCAACATCTCTGATTTTTTTTTTGAAAAATAATGTGAAACGACAAAAATAATACTCATTTTGATCCTAAATACTCTTCCTGTTTTGATATTTTTAGTCAATCAGTGTACTTTTATAAATAAATGGGTTTTACTTTGATACATTTGCAATTTAGAGGGCATCCGTACCCCACCATTCACAAAATGACATGTGTACTTTTATTGTCACATAAAAATTACCGTTTATTTTGTAAACATTACAAAAATCCCCAAACTTAAGCTAATAAGCATTTGTAAACTACTTCACTTTAGAGCATAGGCAATGTCAAATCCTGTCCTGGAATGCCACACGGTGACGTGGCTCAACATATAGTGTTCGATTGCATCCCGTTCAATAGATCTAGGATGGGTAGTGTTCTGGTGTGTCGAAGGACACTGTTAATGCTCTCTGTCCCATTTGTCATTGTTATATTATAACGGGTTGTCTCGAAGAAAGATCTTGCCCACCTTTCCTTCAGTATTGTATATATGTACCTGGATCCATTAAAAAACCTATCCTCGAATTCCTTTAAAAGCCTATTAAAGGACCTTTCGTGTAGGCATTTGAAAGCTGATCGAATAGTTTTAAACCATCTTTGTTCTTCTTTCCTAATGGACCTTTTAAATTACAGTGAATATGATATCGATAGTACCCATAGTCTGCCAGAGAAAAATGTTTTCTCAAACCATTCTCGATGCTTGGATGCCTATCTGAAATGAAGACCAAATCTCGATGATCTTCGATTAATTGTCGAAGATGACCAAAGAAATATGAGTATGACTCGTTATTTTCAGAGTTTACGATGGCCCATGCGAGAGGATACTCATGGAAGTCACCATCTTATTTTGTGGTAATTAGTAAAACACCTTTTTCAAGTGTTTTGCAGAACGTGCCATTAATAGAAATTTCTTTTCTGAGAAACCTGAAACACATGCGTGAAATGCTACAAATATATACATATAACATCCATCCTCCTCGACCTCTAGATTAGTATGTACACTGCCATGGTTTGCCTCCTTCAACACATGTAGATATAAAGGAAGTTTTGCATAGTTCTCGCTTGGTTTCCCGTACAACTTTTCATTTGCGAATTTCCTACCTAGCCATGCTTTTGTATATGTTATGGGAATGCTCTTATTTTACATAAGGGTCCTGATTGTCTTTGGCTTAATGTGTTCCCGCGAACCTCCTAGAGTAGCCAGGACAACTTCCCCAACGTACCTCGATGTAGTTTGCCTATAATTGCACTTACGGTCACCAACCTCACAATTGTGCTTATCGTTGTACTTTGTTGATGATAAATCTAGGGGAGTCCTTTACGGAAAATGCACACATCATCTAACTACAGTTATCAACCCCTGCAACACAGAATATATCGAGTTGTATCACTCTTTGTTGTCTTTGTTTCAAAGCAACCAGCAATGGCTATCTTGGTCATTTTCCGCTTTAGATCAGCCTTGCTGGCAAACTCATAGCCAACACACAAGTCTGATCCGTCGCCAAATGTTCCATCTGTGCCACTATTGCCATCTACAGGACCGACAAGAAAATCAAAATCATCTGGAAATTGAGAGTAGTGTCCATCCTCGACACCAACATGCTCTTGTGTAGTTTTTTGAATTTCTACCTCCATATCAAATTTCTCTTGAGTACTCTTGGGAAGCTCTCCCTCGACCTCTAGATCTTGGGGAGAGTTAGGAATACGATTGGATCCTATGCAAAGGAATATCTCCACATTCGCATTTGGTTCGTCATTTAGTACAACCCCATCTTGTCCACAGCTTGATCCTTTATCAAAAACTTAGTTGCAATCAAAATATTCATGATAGAAGAACAAGTCACAATCATGTTTTAAGCCATTTTGATTTTCCTTTACGCTTTCATCCACTGCATGTTGTTTCTTTCCGGGTTCATTTTCCAACTCTCTTTACTCAATTTCATGTTCTTGCTTGTCATTTTCATTTTCCAGCTCTCTTTCCCCAATTTCAGACACCTCAACATATAAGCATGCAGAATGCACATCTTTATCCCTCAGGAAATAGCGTAAAGCCTTATCACTGGCAATTATTACATGTGGCAATTCCCTACCAAACTAAGAAGATTGGTACGAAACCTGAAGTTGATGCTTACTTCGTTGCAATCCAAAGTCCCGATATATACACATGATAAGGGCATTGAAGTCTTCATGACATCTTTCCCACTCGACAACTTGTGTCTTACTTTGCTTGTTTCTTTTAAACCGTATTTTGCTTTTGTCATTTTCAACCCATTCACCACCATAGTGAATGAAGAGAGACAGAATAGAGCCCATCTGCCTTCAAAAATGGAATTAAATGTGTAAACGTCTTATTACTGTGTCGATCTATATACGTTGACATAATAATAATTCAAAATGTCGATATAAGTATAACGAAACATGTCAAAATAGAATCCAAAAAAAAATTACCGTCAAAAACATATAAATATATGTCGACTCAATCAGATACGTCTACATAGTCAGATATAGTTGACTACACTCTACCGAAAATCAGATAATCGACTTTAATATTGTCGACCACTCTGAGTGTCGAGACGTATCAATCTGTGTCTGCTATGTCTATTTATATCGAAACTTTTCAAAATAATATCCACCAAAAATATATGTGATCAAAAGCATACAAAATATATGCCGGCTCAATGATGATACCATGTATTATCTAGATCGACCAAATACGTCGACATGATCTGATACTATTGACTTCACTCCATTGTAAAGTAGATTTCGACATCAATAATGTCGACCATTCATATATCGACTTTAGATTGCCAACAATCCGACACAATCCAGTTAAATTATGTCGACTACTCAGATAGTGTTGAATCGACTTTAATTATGTCGACCCTTTATGCAATATAACAGTTCCGATTATGTCGGCTTTGTTTAATGATACAATCCTTACTATAACAATTAGGTGAATGTGTACTTACGTTGAAAGATCCTTTCACCGATTATCAACAACAAAAGAAAGATGGCGAACAGGTGGGAACAAACGAAAGACAGCAAACGATGAGAGCCGCAGTCGCGCAGAGTGGTTCGACAGCAAAAAGCTTGCAACAAACGGCGAGCAGCGACGACCGATGAGAGGTGACATAGTATGCAATCGATTGGGATAGAACACCAATGAAAAATGGCGCGCAGCCAAAACGAGAATAACGAATTTCTTTACTAGCGTACAAACGCTTAGCTGCTGCAACAGTCTGATAACGATAGACCCGATCACGGGCCCGGGTATCCGGCCCACCCGCAAAAACCCGCCCGCAAAATAGTGGGCTTGGGTTCGATATTTTAGGGTACGGGCCAGGCTTGGGCCTTATAAATGGCGGCCCGAATATTTTAGGGCCGGGCTCGGGTTTATGCTCAAGCCCACGGGCCGGGCCGGCCCGAATAAATTAAATATTTATATTAATTTAATTATGATAAAATAACAATAACATTAATAATAATAATAATAATAATAAAGAACAAACCTATTTTAAATTATTATAAACACACATATATACTTTTATGGAGAGAAAAAATAAACTATAAATATTTATAATAAAATGAATGCATCTTTACTACTCCGTATTGTTTGCAACGTATCACACATTGATTATGACATTCCAATAGATAATATTTTGTACTCCATACATAGTAGCAATATCAAACAAAATATATTTATATATCAATTTTTCTTTCATTTACTCACAATAGTTTTTATATCAAATATCTAATATATTAACTTGTTACTTTTTTATAAAAAAATTATTTTTAAATTATTTAGAAGTTTTTGTCGGTCGGGCCGGGCCGATCTGAAGCCGCGGGTAACCATGCGGGCCGGGCTTGAGCTTCAATTGTTAGGCCCATTATACGGGCCGGGCTGGGATCGGGCCTATAAAATTTTCATAAAGTAGTGTCTCGGCCCGGCCCGCACTTTGATCAGGTCTAGATAACGATAACCGCTTGGAGGAGAAGGATAAGAGAGTAATTTCACTTTGATAGAAAGGATAGGCTAATAAATACGATCCGTTTTAGGGTAGAATAACAAATTTCTTTAGTTTTTAGGGCATTTTGAAAAAGACCCCCTCATTGTGGTGTTTGGGAGGGTGTCCCACCTGACTTGTTCTCAATTTAATTTAGAAAAATGCTGGGGGAATCTCATTTGGGGTAAATCAAATATACACCAACACAAAAATAGACACACACAAACACTTAATAATTGTGTACGTACAGATATTTATGCACGCACAGATATTAAGTGTTTGCGTATACTTATTTTTGTCTTGATATATATTTGATGTATCCTAGATTAGATCCCCTTAGTACTCCCCCGTGCATTGCTATATTATTCTGGCTTTCAAAACAAAAACAAAGTTTGGGGTGGCTATTTTCCAACTATTCTCGATGCGCAAACATATACATGCGTAACAACTAACAACATTTAACTCATCATATATATCTTTTATATATAATATTTGGGAGTTAAACTCCTAGAAATTCGACATGTGGCAGGCTACTTGGCAAATTTTTTTACACATCATCAGCCAAATTTGATGACTTAAGTGACTTGGCAATTTTAACTTAAAGTATGAAAATATCTTATTAGAGCAAATATTCATTTCCAATTATTGCACATATGAAAAACTTTTACGAGGTATATGTAAAGTAATTATAATTAGGAGGTTATAAATGTTAATTATAAACAACTTTCAATTAATTACTAATGACATTTATTGGCTAATCCTTCCTTTTGTTATAAAATTTGAGACTGGCTTACATGATATTGGCATGTCACGAGCTAATATGACATTTTTAATAAATCATCTGTTGTCTATTTATTATTTTAATGAGTTGGTAATTTTAATCAACATACGGAGTACTGATTTGACATTATTTTATATTATTTTTTATTGATTGAACATAGTGACTAGTTTATTTGTCTTTTAAGTTTAATGCAGGTAATCTTAAGAATTACTAACTCTATTGTTTTTAACACCAATTCATTTTTCGAATGATATGTTTGACCAATGAAATTTTTTATCAAACATATTTTTTATTTTGAGATTATAGTCTAATTTTTAATATTTCAATTCATTATATATTTATATAAATAACTATTCAAGCATTTGACAGCAAAGCGAACTGAGACAATTAATGAATAAAGTTTTTAGAATTATTTAAAAATACCAATTTATTTACCATATATACGTATGGGGGGTGGTAAAGAACACTTTCTATTTTGGATTTAGAATCACTCCCTCTGTCCTCTTAAGATCTTCTCATTTTGACTTTTTGTGGTTTTTAAGGAGAATTGAAAAAATGTTAAAGTTTACCATAATACCTTTAATGAAAATGGGTGGAGTGTATTAAATGAGGTAGATGGGGTGTAATAAATAAAGTAAGTGAGAATAGTTGTGGTATGTATTTTAATTGTTAAAAAAAAGTAATGAGAAGATCTATGGTGGACAAATAAAAAGGGTTAATGATTTAGATTCATCCATTTTTATGAAATGATTTAGATTCATCCATTTTTATGAAATGATTAATTATGCACCTATTTCTCTGAATGAATTTTATTAATTTTATATTTAGGTTAGTGGTCTTATGCTAAACAAAAAGAATGGGTTTGGTTGCTACATATCTTTATCTTTATATATTAAATTTAAGAGTTAAACTCATAGAATTACAATAAGTGGTGAGTTTACATTGCAACATTTTAACAAATCAAGGCGGTGGATATGCCTAATGCTTCACAGTGATATTAATAAACCCTTTTTTTGATTTTATTCTAATCTTATACCTCTTTCACGGTTTTATACTCAAAGTATAAAAAATAGAGGTTTTATAATTGATGTTATGGTTAAAAAATAATATATCACGATTTTTGTAATACTTTACCATTATATGTAACGGTGTTGCAGTGACAGTAAACTTTATTTAGGAAATAAAAATATTGAACTCTTATTCTGGGCATAAGATTTATGTCTTACTTCTATTTGAGTGATTTTTTAGTTTTGTTTAGGAAATATATACAGAGTAATATATATGGAGTAGTAACTACCAAAAGTTTCCTTCTATACTTATAAGTTATATTACCTTATATATCTTTTTTTTACAAAATCATCATCTTCAACTTCTTGGGAACCTATTTGCATATCTTTCTTTTTTTCTTCTATAGTGTAGATAGGTGAATTTGTGAAAACTATTGTGTAATTGATGATGTACTCACACTTCATTTGGTAAGTTTAAGGGAGGGCATCATTAGTAATCTATTTAAAAAGGAAATTGATAGCATTATTTTTTGGTGAATGATATTATTTTCCATATTCTTTGCGGAGCTTACGAGAACATATTTCCAATTTTGTTGATCGGAACTCCAAAATTTATTATTTAGCTACTAAATATAAAGAGATTCCTTTTTTCTATATAACAAGGTTAAAGTATACAAAATTTGACCAAGAAAAGTCAAATGAAAATATTAAATCCGAATGGAGACTAATAAGATCGAGACTAAGTTACATGTTACAACCACATCAAAGAGAAATATAATTTCATATTTATAATTATTTCTATTTTGATAAAACATTTTGTATATTGACGAGAATACTATCAAGGGCTTGAATGATTTTGCATTATAAAAGTGAAAAAGAAAAGTTTGCATATGATCTTATGAGATACTTATCTACGATGAATGAATATCAGCACAATATATATGATGAGATAATGGAAGTTGTGACACCTGAAAGAGAAGGTTTATTTTTTATGTATGGTTACAGTGGAACTGAAAAAATATTTTTTTATAGAAATCAGTGTTTATTTATCTAATGTCAAATGATAAGATTGTCTTGAATGTCACATCCAGTTGTATTGCAGCATTACTTTTTCATGAGGGAAGGACATGGGTGAATGACATTACACTTGAGATTCTCAATCTCTTTGGGCGATTGCATAACGTGTGCCATCAAACAAGAGAGTCCGAAAGCAGAACTAATCCAACAAGTAAGACTAATACTATGGGATGGAGCATGCATGATGAATAGATTTATTTTTAAGGTGCTGGATCACAAAATGAGAGATGTAATGAATTTATCTAATAAAAACTCTAGAAATGAACCATTTGGAGGGGAAATAGTTGAATTCGGAGGGGAAAAAGTAGGACTCGAAGGGAAAATAGTTGAACTCAGAGGTGATTTTTGGCAAACTTTTCCTATCTTACCCAAAACTTCAAGAGAGAAAATTGTGAGTGCTATCATCTATTCTTTAAAATTATGGTCGTATTTTAAAATTTATATGTTAGCGAAGAATATGATATTACATTCTTCTACGTCCTCTATCCCAGATAGGGACACAGAAATTTTTTCTGATTGGATAATTAAAGTTAGAGATGAAAAACTTAGACAAGTGATTGATGAAACAACTGACCTTAAAATTCTGCATAAATTATTAATTTTAGACACAAGTTATTTTGTGAAGAGTATAGTGGACTTCACTTATCCTAATTGAACCTAATATGAAATGGTGTGCCTGAGTTTTGATTCTTCATGTCAGGCTGATTCAGATGTAATTATTGATGACAATTAAATAACAATTAAATTTTAAATGAAATCAAATGTTCAGGGATCCAAAACTACAAAATAATCTTAAAAATGGCTTAACGCTTTTGATATTGAGAAACATTGACCAAATATATGGCTTATGTAATGGTACACGATTAATCCTTGAAGAGCTGTGAAAGAATGTTATTAGTCGATTGTGGTTTTGAGAAATCGAGTCAGCAAAAAGTTTACATACTCCTAATGAAATTGATACCATCTGATCTAGGACCACTCTTGAAATTATTTATAAGGCAAATATCAATAGTCTTATATTTTGCAATGACTATCAACAAAAGTCAAAGTCAAACATTGTCATTTCTTGCATTACTTTTAACCAAGTTGGTATTCACTCATGGTCAGCTTTATGTTATGGTTCCATGAGTGAAGACAAAAACAAAATTAAAAATATTAGTTCTAGATGAAAATGATAGCCTTGCAACTATATCAAAAAAATTATATACCTTACAGTCTTTCAAAAAGTTTGGTATTAAAAAAAACTTGGTTGAATACACATTCAATTCCTCAAATATTGTTTATCCTACTTTGGAATTTTTGTATATAGTATTAAAAATCATAGGGAAATATATTTTCTTTATTCTAGGAAAAAATATTGCATTAAAAAAGTTTGAGAACCAATAAAAATTTTGTTCGACCCCGTGCGTTGCACGGGTAAAAATACTAGTATATTTATAAAATTAGCGGATTAATTGTGGTTACGACACGTGTCATGCCACGTCATTAGTTTATTGCCAAATAGATTGCCACATCATGTCATCTCTTGCCACTTAATTTTTTAAGAGAATGAAAAAAATGAAAAGTCATATCCACATAATACTTGAGCTTTAACTCATTGTGTTTTAAACAAATATACAAGCAACATTTAAAATTTTTAAAATTTGATAAACATATTTTCTATATCCTTCATATTTTGATTTTAAATACGGAGTAACCATTAATTTTTTTTTTTTTATAAAATCCTTCACTTTACAACTATTTTAAAAATATATATTATAGTTCTAAAATATTCATAAGTATGTTGTTATTTTAAAAAATTAATTAAAATTTTATTAAATAAAAAATACCATTATAATTGTTTATAATTTTTTAAACTATCCACCATTTATTTTATTATTTTGTAAAAACACTACTCTGAATTATCCACATTATTTATTTCAACATTTTTATCCTATTACATTATTTAAGTAATGTCATCTAAATGTTAAATATTAAAAGAATCTTAAACAAAAATATCTAAAAGAATATAACCCAAAATGGAACTATAAAAATATTATTAGAAAATAACAACAAATATAATTATATTTATAAAATATTAAAATTTAAAATATATACGAGCATCACTAGTGATAAATAAAAGCAAAGAAAATTGAATAAAAATACGGCACCAACCGTTCACACTTCATAAGAATCAATAAGGGCGCCTACATAAGGTCGAAAAAGACAAGCACCGTCAAATTTAAGAGAATTCACCATGTAGGATTGGAGTAACAAATAACAAAGATAATGAGTGATTTTAATTAAAAGATAAAAAATTTATTGGATGAATAAAAACATAAGAAGAAGTATTTTGTGTGACCCACAAAATATTACTGTTAGAATATAAATAATTGTTCCTGGGCCACAACCACAAGCTTGAGCTTTTGGTTGAGTTAGTTCCTTGACATGGTATCGGAGCCTTGTTGACTAAGAGGTCACGGGTTCGAAACTCAGCGCCACCCAATTTTAAAAAATTAAAGTTTCACGTGCAAGGCTCAAAAAAGACTACGCCTGCACGTGAGGGAGCGTGTTAGAATATAAATAATTGTTCCTGGGCCACAACCACAAGCTTGAGCTTTTGGTTGAGTTGGTTCCTTGACAATTACTCCATTTCATAATTATCTTCACTTTATGCAAAATAAAGTAAGATTTTAAGTTTTTTCAATTCATTTTATTTAAAAATTGATGTATAAATAAAAATAAAACTTACATATTTAATTTTGAAATTACGTCAAAAGTTTTACTCCCTCCGTTCTCAAAAACACTTCCTCTTTCAATTTTTTCACTTCCAACAAAATACTTCCACTTTCTATTAAAAAACCACTTTTACCCTTACTTTTTCATACCCTACCTATCACATCATAATTTTTCTCTAATAATCTACTCATCACATCTTACTTTTACCCATCACATCAAGGGCAAAATTGGAAGTCAACTACAATTTAACACTTCCTTATTTTTCCACTTTTTAAAAGTAGGAACTCTTTTTTAGAACGGATGGAGTACAAAATAAGTACTTACAACATTTTATATTTTATCAAATAATAAATGAAATCATACCACTAGAAAAAATTCTTTGATTTTAGAATAGTGAAGAATGAAGATACTTCTAGGGGGAGGGGGAGTAAATACATACGTGGATCGGTAGGTGGACGGTGGTTCCTAATTACAACTTCCATTCCTTTTCAATTGTTCCATTTACTTTATGAGTTTCATTATATATTTATATACTCGTATATAGTTAGTCAAATACTAAATACATTGAGCAAAATGAACAGATAAAAAAAGGAATAGAGGGAGTAGTGTATACCTTGATTTTAAAATGTAAAATACTACATCCGTCCCAATTTTGATTATAATTTTTTTCTCTTATCTATAAATAAATTGTGTTTATTTGTATGTTTTCATTGATTATTTAATAAAATAAAATACTCTTGTCATCTTTTGTTTTGTTGAACTGTTAATGTAGTTCTTTAAAATGTAGTTTTTATTTTTATTGATGTACCAATTGTAAATACAATGATTTCAAAAGTTATGAGATTTACCTTGTAATTTCTTATTTGTAATTAAAATTGGGACAGAGAAAGTATGTGATAAAAGTAATAAAATGATTGTAATTAAAACCTCAAAATGAGGATCGGTAATACTCTCTCCGTCCCCAATTTGATTACAATTTTTTTTCTCTCCTCTCGATAACTTTTGTTTGTTTACGCGATTTCATTAAGTATTTGATAAAATAAAATATTCTTGCCATCACCTCTTGTTTTGTAAAACTTTTGACGTAGTTTTTTAATATGTAATTTTTTTATTATCGATATATCAATTTGTAAATAAAATAATTTTAAAATATTTGATATTTCTCCTCGTAAACTCCAATTTGTAATCGAATTGAGGACGGAGAGAGTATTTTTTGGAAATTTTAGGTAAAGAACAAAATATCTTTAAGCATTTTAGATGTATATCACTTGGTATACACCAAGAGTTTGCATGGACACATTATTGATGGAAATGTTATTGTGAAATTTTAGGATCGTAGTGATATATTGTACCTAAGTTCTTTAATACCGATTAGTCCTTAGTGAGTGGTGCGCATTTGACATGACAAAGACCGACAGAGGTTAATCTGTCGCTAAAGGTTGAATATCTGTCGCTAATCGCTTTTACCGATAGGTAACTGTCTGTCGCTACGTTGTCGCTAAAAACTCCATCAGTAAAAGTATTACCGACAGATAAAATATACTGTCGCTAATAGCGACAGACCAAAGATGTCACTAAAAAAGAGAGGAGTACTGACAAAACATATATGTCGCTAAAACATGGATTACCGACAAAAAATAGTGTGGGTAAATCCTTCTTTTTTGTCGTTAATACCTTGTTTTTACCAACATTTACATTTATTATAACTGTTGCTAAAAGTTAGATTACCCACAAAAAATTATGCGAGTAAAATATATTTTTCTGTGGGTAATAGTTTATTTTGACCAATATTAACATATATTATAATTGTTACTAATATCATGATTCACACCAGCATATACTCTATTTAAGTGATATCAAAGAATATTATTGACAAATAAAAAATAATATTCATACTTGTATTAACAACAATACATAATACAATAACTGGTCAAAGGGTTACAACTAACCCATTTACTAGAAAGTAAACCAAAATCTCAAAATTAGTTTATCATTTGCATACGTTTCAAGCTAAAGTATAAACAGTCAAAGTGAACTAAATTAAAATACGCGTTGATATGGACGATATAGTCCAAAGCTTTAATGCTCGTCACTGTATACATCTTCAAGTTCAGCGCTCTCAACTTCATCATCTTTGTTCCATCGATCATCATGACTTTTCTTAGGGGTTGTATTACCATCAAGTGTAAGGTCATCAATATCAGATTGATTAGCCGTTGAACCCTATGCAAAAAAATTATAAGCACATGATAACGTAATTACAAATTTTGCACCAAATTTACCTTACACTCATGCTAGGTGTCATAACTTTAAACTATATAATGAACTAAGCAAAAATCAAATGAAATATGGGTAGTTAACAATGATAGATAGAGACTAACCACGGTATTTAAAACCAATGATACTACATCTTCTAAATTCTGGAGTCTTTCTTTTGTTATCTTTTTAACGACAAATAAGGTCTCTGTCTCTAAGGATCTGTTGGTACTGCCCTCTTTTTTGTAGTGTTCTAAGTTTCATTTCTGTCAACGTATTAAAAGCCAACTATGCTAAATATATAGTTCCGAAAAGATCCACACTCATTCTATGAACTCAAGATTTACACTTATTGTTGGCGACAGAAGAAGGAAGCCGGATCAAAGAAGGAAACATGAATCCCTTTGGGATTCGGTTTAGTATCTTTCCTAGTTTGCTTAGTTCTTGTTATAGTAGGAATAGAAATATGGTAGGAATAAAAGTTACTTAAATGCTTTACTCTCTTCCTATATAAAGGGAGTTAGACCTTTGTAAGCACAAACCAATTAAATATACAGAATATTTTCTTTCTTATCAATTTCTGTATATTTAATTGGCCTGTGCTTACAAAGGTCTAACTCCCTTTATATAGGAAGAGAGTAAAGCATTTAAGTAACTTTTATTCCTACCATATTTCTATTCCTACTATAACAAGAACTAAGCAAACTAGGAAAGATACTAAACCGAATCCCAAAGGGATTCATGTTTCCTTCTTTGATCCGGCTTCCTTCTTCTGTCGCCAACACTTATTTTATTGATCTTAGTATATAAATATATTAGACTCTTTGTAAAAAATAAAAGATCAACATATTAAATCTTGAAAGTTGAAAAGTGTGAGAAGTTTTTATTTTAGGTGTAGATATTAGGATAATGGAAGCACTACTCCAACAAGTCACCTTACTCTTGGTTCTCAAAAACCGTGGGGTCCTATTTCCTTTTTTGGGTTGCTGCCTGCTCGTGGGCTTTAATCAAAACTAAACTGATTCATGTCAACTTATCGTATGACAGATGGCTTGAAACATGTTCTCTTCAAGTGCTTGTATGATAGCACGTGCTGATCACAGTGTCATTTATTGGTGATTGAAGGAAGGTTTTGGATATGACAAATTCTTGGACGGTGAAATATGAAAACTACACATGCATTTTATGAACGGTGAGGTTCTAGCTAGTGACATCATCAGTGGCGGAGCCAGGATTTAGGGGTAGTGGGTGCGCTATACCGGGAACTCGTAAGTCGTGCCCCGAATATTTATTTATAAAGATAATACGGAGTATAAAACAATAAAAAAAAATTAATGAATTTTATGTCAAGCTAACATTCATATAATTTATGTACTCAATTTCTTCATCAAAACTGTGAATTTATAAAACAAGTATTGATTTAAGCATAATCTTCATATTAATTTAATAAAAAACAAAAAATATTAAAAATAACACAAAATTAGTAGATAAAAAATCATATTATCAATTGATGTCTCCACTATACAGCCTCTGCCCCCCAGCTCTGCTCTACTCTCTCTCTCTCTTTATATATATATATATATATATATATATATATATGTATGTATGTATGTATGTATGTATGTATGTATGTATGTATGTATGTATGTATGTATGTATGTATGTATGTATGTATGTATGTATGTATGTATATATATATATATATATAGAGAGAGAGAGAGAGAGAGGGCGGTTCAGGTGAGAATGCACCTTGGTGAAAGAAATAAAAATAAAATCTAGCCTTTGGATCTGATGCATCGTGCGGCTCAGATTGCATCCTGCACTCAGATTTTGAGATAGTGCATTTTTAAAGGATTTTGGAGCATTTTGACATGATGCATTTTCAAATTATTTTGGTGCACCTAATTTTGATGCAATCCTGACTCTTAGATCTCACAATCTAGAGCACCAGATTCATTCTTATTTCTTTCATAAGATTGCATTCTCACCTGATCCAAAATCTATATATATATATATATATATATATATATATATATATATATATATATATATATATATATATATATATATATATATATATATAGTGTTGCTATATCTAATATATATATATATATATATATATATATATATTAAAAAATAAAAATTGGAGTGACTGCAATTGCAGTCAATTGCTCCTCTTTGGCTCCGCCACTGGACATCATCCACGTTTGGTGATATTAGTGGTGTCACTTTCATTTAGGGGCACTTCTGGCTCTCCGTACGCAAATTGAGGTTCCTACCCCCTAACCCACCTCTTAAACCCCGCCCCTGCACCCCCACCCCAACCCCGCCATAAGCCCCCCACAAAATATGTGGCTATTATGCATTGCATAATAGCCACACATTTTGTGGTGGGCTTACGGCGGGGTTGGGGTGGAACTGTAGGGGTAGGGTGGGGGATTTAGGGAATGATTTAGGTAGGATAGGAACCGTCAATTTTACGAACGGAGCAACAGAAATGCTCCATAATGACAGTGGCACTGGAGTGTCTCCGTACTCCGGTGCCACTAGAACCCCACCATTTTATTTAAGAATCTTGGTGCACAAACACGGTAAAAGTATTGAGCTTTTTACAAAAAGGTAAGTCTTTCTAAGTTTCTAAAGTCTATACCCATTTTATAAACATTAATATATACGGAGTAGATATCATGGATGAATTGATATCTTTGAAAATAAAATCTTTTCATATCGGGCCACTAAAAATGTGAAAATATTTATATTACATATCACATACTTGGACCTTGAAATCACGGAAGCAAAACTCTTTAGAAAATAAAATAATCCTCTTGTAGGCCCATAATAAATATGAAAAAGGCCATATTTCAAATGTGAACTTCGGAATCACAGAAGTATAACTCTTTATATATAATTTTACTATACATTTATAGTATCTCCATCTAGATTTTAATCGTTTTTCTGTTTTTTCACGAGCTCTAATATAACACTTTAACATTTATATATCTATTTATACATATGATGGTGTAAATTATCTAACCGGGTAAACAGTACTAAATCAGGTCTAGGATTGTTTACTAGATTCAAGAGGATTACACTGGTATTTATAGTAATCAATGAGGATAAGGCGCCGCACATCCACGTCAGGGCACGTTCCTGGGTGGTGCGAGGTGATTGCCTCTGTCTTCTAGTGTCATTGTCCTTTAATTAGGAAGGTGACTCCTTTGAGGCTTAGCGCATTGGAGTGATTGCCTGAGTATCTCAATGATCTTCCGTTGAATTTGGCCGATACAGTCCAATTTCCTTTGAATTCTTCCTTGCCGACATTTTCCAACCCTAAAAATCATACCAGGTAGATTTCTAAGGGAGGGTTAATTGAATTTGGGGACAAATGACGGAATAAAGTAGTTTGACCGGTAGGCTTTCCGGAGTGTACTGGTCAAAATTTTGGTCAACCGATTACCCTTTTATAGTAATTTAAGTCCTTCCCGAATTAACCTTGACCGGTTGAGTATTCGAGTGCCTCCTTTGACCGATTCTGGGTGGAATACACCCATCAACATAGATATATTTTATGAAGAGTTAGTATTTCAAAACTATATTTTAAAAGGAAACTATTTATATTATACTCCATGCATCCTAAAATGATCTTCTCAGTCACTATTCACATGGTCAAACTTAAAACTTTAATCACTTTCTTTACTAATTTTCTTTAGTTATTTGATTAAATAATATAGTCATGTCACTTCTTGTTTTGTAAAACTTTTGATGTGGTTATAAAATATATAATTTTTAATTTTAAATTTACACCTATAATCAAATAAATTGAATTGAAAATAATTTCAGTCAAACTACGTAAATCGAATTGCGAAATTCATTTTAGGACGGAGGGAGTATTTGTATCAAAGTATAATGAATTTTTTCCCACAAATCGAGATCAAAGTTTTAATATGTTGACTAAGAAAAATCAAATGACAAGATTAAAATTGGATAGAGAGAATAATACTCCTTGCGCCCTAATTTTGATTATAATTTTTTTCTCTCCCCTCGATAACTTTTGTTTATCTGTATGCTTCCATTCATTATTTGAAAAAATAAAATATTTTTGTCCCCACTTGTATTGTAAAACTTTTGACGTAGTTTTTTATAAGTAATTTTTATTTTTTTATCGGTATACCAGTTTGTAAATAAAATGATTTCAAAAAATGAGAAATTTTACCTTGTAAATCCTAATTTGTAATCAATTTTAAAATGTCTGAACACTTTCATTATATAATAATTCTAAAACATTAACTTATTTTTTCTGACAACTTATTTTTTTCACCAACAGTCTCTAAAGGTCCATTCTATCAACTTATTTTTTCAGATTATTACTTATTCTTATTAAAATCAGATCAGACGAGATCAAATCTAATCTCATCATATCCAATTAGATCAAATCAGACTAGATTAGATCTAATCAGATCAAATTAGATCTGATTAGACAGGTCATAAGTGTTTAGTTTAAATGAGATAAATCTAGAAAAATGTTTAAAAACAATGCTAATATTACGGAGTATGACATAATAATTATAATGCGATTATGCTTTATAGTTTAATGTTGCGTAAAATTTACTAATAATAATAATTATAATGTTATATTCACTTAAGTAATAATATAACTACTTGTTATTTATTATTTACTATTGTGTATTGTTATTATTATTTAAGTGATCATAATAAACAATGCTAATATTACGGAGTACTAAATTATTGTCTTCTTCCAAAAAACATGCAAAATTGTATATTTTTTAAAATAATTTTATCGTTAAAAAAGTATAAAAATATAAGGTTAAATTTAAAAGGTTAAATTTACATCGTCAAAATTTGACTCCAAAGTCAAAATCAACTTGGGGGTGCAATTGAAGGGGGTGGGGGGCCGCGTTCGAGTCGGGGCGTGGTGGGGGGGTTTACCGGGGGGTTAGGGGGATAGGAACCGTTAATTTTACGAACGGGGCACCGGAGCACTCTCGGGTCATCCCATGACATTGGTTCTCAATGTGATTTGAACCGGCCTTTAAAAATTACAAATTATCCACAAATTTAACCCAATCATTCGTTGCCCTAGTTTATTTTCATAATTCTGTTTGACTATTTCATTATTCTTATATTATTTTTTTTAATTATTCTCATTATTTTACTTTTTAT